CGCCGAAGACGACTAAGTAATAAAATATGGGGGGTGCCATTTAAAAAAATGAAGTTATGGTGCTTCCAAATTTCGAAAAGTTAACGTGTCATAGTAAAGTGACCAAACGATCTAGACAGCCGTTCTTGGCACCAAAACATACTCCATCATGTTGTTTAAGCATGTTCTGAATCCTAAATTGATATCTCAAAAATCGAGTGTTCTATGATTTTTTGAACAAATGTCCGCTGGAGCAGATTTTTCTAGAAAAACTCGAATAACTCGAGAACGGCCGAATCAAATTGCAAAAAGTAAAGTTATTTATAAACCTTCAAAACAGACAAATCCAAATATGTAAAAATATACAGGGTGTTAAAACCGGAAGTGCAAGAAATCTGAAAATATTTTAGACGAAGAGATCGTAATTGATAATACTAAAGTCTGAATTCTCAAATTTTTATTTTCGCCAGAACCCCAGAAACGTCTAAGGACCGGTTTCGCTGAGACACCCTGTATAAATAAATTTTAGTACAAAATGTTAATACAGTAGTGTCCGGTAAATTCGTACCCGGATTATAACGTTCAATGGAATATAATGTATGTTTTCTTCTGTCTGATCAAACTTCAATTGCTTATAGTATCACGTCTACCTGATATACCATACGTGACTAAAAAGAGGCCTGATAAACAACCCTACACATACAATCGGTAGATTGACCTTTCTGAATACAACTCTTTTATTTGGTAGGAACAAAAAACTAAAGCAGTATAAATCATATATGAAATTTTCCGCTCTATGCAGTGGTATATAACTTTAGTACACTGCACAAGCACAATGTTAATCACCGTTATGATGCTGTAATCATTTAGATACGCAATAATACGTGGTTTTTATAATTTTTGGGTTGAAAAGAAGAAGAAAACGCAGTTTAGTGCGCTCAATATGGACTAATTTGACTGACGCCGTTCTTCCACTAGCCCGTTATTCAATCAAATAATCACACGAGAATACACCATCTAATTCAAGTCAATAATCAAAGTTAATAATCAAATACCGCAAAGCAAACAAGAGAAACACAAACTATACCCCACTCCATCCTTACAAACTCTCTGGACCCTGCATTAGTGTTATTTTTATTTCCCTTCTAAACCTCCCCACCGAAGAGCACATCCCAACCTTTACCATTAACTCCTTAAATATTTGATAAATTTGGTAGATAAAGCTAATCTTAAAAAATTCTGTTCTATCTAAAGGCGGTGTTGGCGTTCCCTTAAATCTTAGATTAAGATTGTGCACATCGGAGCGAAAAGAAATTTTTCCAAATAAGTATGCAGGCTTTTCTCCAACTAGTAAATTGCGAAACAGCAACGCCGCATGTGCCATTCGTCTCGATTGCATGTTTAACCACCTTATTTCCGACAATTTATAACTTACATGGACCCTTCGCCTCAACCCAAACAATAGACGTATACAAGAGTTTTGCACTTTTTGGATTTTATATTTAAGCGCATACGTTAGAAATGGGTAATACAGACAGTCAGTATAATTGAAACGTGATAACACTATGCTGTCACATAGTAATCGCTTAGATGCTTCATTTATGTACGCCCGATTAGAATAAATAAGTTTCAGTGAGCTATACGCCTTCTGTAGGCATTTATTAATGTGCAAATCAAATTTTAAATTTTCATCCAAACCTAAGTTTTTCACAGACTTACTAAATACCAACTACTCGTTGTTAATTTTAATTTTAATTTTGTTTATTAATCGTTGTTTAACTGATTTTGGGCCAAACATCCTTAGTTCTGTCTTTTGTGGGTTGACGCGTAAGCCATGTCCATCAGAAAGCTGAACCAGTCGTTTCAAAAAGAATAGTAAATCTGCGTATCATCCGCAAAGCAATGGGATGTGCAACACCGCAACATATATTTAAAATGCCTTGTATAGATGTTAAACAATAGAGGGGATAATATTGATCTCTGTGGGCATCTGACTCTTATCAATATAGTATCTGAAAGGTAATCATTTACTGTTACTTGTTGCTCCCTATCTGATAAATAATCTATCAGGAGACTTATTGCTTGTTGACTCAACCCTATATGATTTAATATTGAAAACAACATTTTGTGACTCATTCCATCAAAGGCTTTAGAATAATCAAGCAAGCACAGCACAGTTACCTTTCCATTATCAGATGTCCTCAGAATATCATCCACAATGTTCAACAATGCGGTGGTGCAGCTATGTCTCGATCTGAAGTCAGATTGCACCTTAGGTAACAATTCATTTGTATAGACAAATTCCCTTAATTGCTCACACATAATCTT